CAAAGATGGAAGGTCCTTGTTGGAACCCCCTCTCTGACAAGGGGCATAAGATGCGGGGCCGGGTCCTCAGCATTGTCAACTCACCCTGGACTGTCTGCCCTGGCTTCCTTCCTTGCTCCCAATTTACCCCGTAGTTCCAACACCTGGACTTCATGATGAGCAAGGCTCACGGATGTGTGCTGCCTGCCCTCCCCTCCCCGGCTCTTTCCTCCCCTCCCCTGACCTAAAGCAAAGCTTGGCTAAACTTCATAAAGGAGACAGCACTAAAGTCCCCAGGGAAACACCTGAGTGGACCTGCCAGTTTACACCGAGGCAGCCTTGGGCACCAAGTAGGTTTTGCTTGTTAACTTCCAGAGTCTTCTGGGGCCTTCTGTATTTAACACTACCAGGAGTGGTAAATACTGTCTTTTGATGTCTTTCTGCCTCTATTTTATTTTATTTTATTTTATTTTATTTTATTTTATTTTAATTTTTTTTAAGTTTTTATTTATTCATGACAGAGAGAGAGAGAGGCAGAGACACAGGCAGAGAGAGAAGCAGGCTCCATGCCGGGAGCCTGACATGGGACTCCATCCCAGGTCTCCGGGATCACACCCCGGGCCGAAGGCGGCGCCAAACCACTGGGCCACCCGGGCTGCCCAATCTCTCTCTCTTTTAGACATCACATCCCCTTTCCATACCACCCAGAAAAAGGTCCCCCCATCTACTTTTCAGATTTCCCTCCAGACCTTGCCCCCATGGTCTGGGGCTGAGGCAGTTGGGTAGGAGTTTTGTTTCTGATGCACTTGTACCTCTTGAAGGCTGGGCTGTGACCCCCCAGCAGGTGGCATTCCCAGCATCTTCAGTCATGGGAAGGACTCTGCCTCTCTGCCTGTGTTTGGGCCTGTGACACCACTGAGACGGGCCTAAGGAAATCGGTGTGAGCAGGAGGGTGAATCATGGTGTTTGGCTTCTTGCCCTATGCCCATAAAAGTGGCATTTCCTTAAATAGATCAGTACCTTAATAACTAAAGAACATGTGGTATTTGGGGGTGTATTTTATGGCCCTTAATTAAACAGACAAATTAAAACATTTCTAAGATGTTTTATGACTTTTTTAATCTTTTTCTGTGGAGATTTGTGTAACGTTTTCTGTCTCTTTCCCCACCCCTCAGCGCTCAGTGTGTGCAAGGGCACATGAGAGTGGGGCCACCTGAAGGCCGCATCTGATCTTAAGTCCTAGGAGCAGGAGAGGGATTGTGGCTCAGCTCCAGAAGGAGCAAGTGGGAAACGCCCAGCCAGTCCTGTGGAGGGGTGGGAGGCGTTGGGCGATTTTATGAGTCTAGGTCTGTGTTTTTATGATAGTGGAAAGGACAGCAGATGGGCTTGTGAAGCAGGCCACGTCCATCTGCCCCATCAGATCTCTCAGTGGACATTTCCTGGATGGGAGGACGTGCGCCTCAGTTGAGTCTGTGCTGAAAGCTTTCTTGAACTTTTGTTCCTGCACATATCATAGCCCTCTTGTTCTTGTCCACCTAATCCAAACATAGACTTATCTGGAAGAGTAGAAAAGCCCTGAATTGACCTGAAAACCAAGTGCAAAATCTGAATTTATTAATTAGAAACTTGCATTATAATTCCTAGTATGTTCCATTGACTCTATTAAAAAGAAAATTATTTTCTTCCTAGAGAGCTTGGACCATTGCCTGTGAAGAATGAGCAGTAGAAAGTCCTTTCATTAGTGTGCATATTCACCTCAAAACATCATGTTTTGGGCTTTAAGAGTAGTTTATTTTAAAGGTATTGGGTGGCCTGCGGAAGAAGCTGTCTTGTGTAGGGGTGAGGCCCTTGACCCTGCCGCAGCCCTGCACTGATCTGCAGAGTGTAAATGGGTCCTTCTGTCCAGAGGGAAGTGCACATAGGCTTTACCATTACCATTAAAGACTCTCCTTAGGCATCGAAAATGCCACTTTTTAAAAATAAAGAGGCCACTCCTAGGCAACTTTGTGAGAGAAACATGTCAAAAAGCATATCTGTGAATGTCAAGACCATTACAGATAATTGAACTTTGTGATGAAGTGGCTTCTTAAACCTAAATTAATAGCTCCAGAGAAGCCAGGGGACCTTTCTGTCTTCCCGTCTGGATTTTCTAGCACTCTTTTTGGCCTCAGAGAACAAGCTTTGTTGTTTACATAGACTTTTCTCTGTTCAGTCTGCATTATTTCCTAGTAGTTTGTTTTTTTCAGCCCTGAGCATCAGAAACAATGAAACAAGAGGTAAGATGGGGAGCAGAGGGGGTGCAGGCCCTGCGCTGCTGTGGTGGCAGAGGCTGGCGGTGGTGGCAGCCTTCCCTGGGGCCTGCTTTCTCATTCTCAGCATTTTTCCACCTCCCTTGAGGCCCTGGCCTCATTTTCCCCCAAGGTCTCTCTGGAAGGCTGAGGAGGTGGAGGGATGGTGGCAGAGCACGCAGAGGTCTCACTTGGGTTCGGTACGGAGTGGCCTCTCTGTCCTCTGCTGGGTACAGCACCCAGACTGGCTCCCTCCAGCTGGGGGAAGAGCGACACCCGCCAGCCTGCCTGGGCTGGGACTTTGTTTTGATTTGGAAGTTTGGCTGTCAGGTACTTCAAAGTTAACTCCCCCTACCCTGGAACCCACGAAGCCATTGTTTCCTCATTGTTTAAATTTCTTTGGCATGTTTTGTAAATGAAGTCACTGCTCAGCCTGGAGGTTCCAGGCTTGAGGTTGGGTTTGTGTTGAGGAAGCTAGGGAAGGCTGGGGTTCCCACAGCTGGGGAGCTGGGGCGCAGTCGTTTCCTCTGGTGCAGGAGCCTTTGCCTCGTGGTGTGGGGAGGCCAGGCACGTAGGCGGCTCTGCCAGACACCCGCCTTTCAGCTGGAGAGGGGGCTGCAGCGGCAGGAAATGGAGATTTGTTTTCCTCCAGAAATGAATGTGGCCTCTGGGGGCAAGGGTTGAGAGTCCTCAGCAGCCACATGTTGCCGTTTGCCTTGCACAGGGCTTGGACACGTTGATAAGAAGCTGCTTGCCCTGCCATCCATGCAATGGTACGCTGTGCCCTCGGCTCTTCGATCAGGGTGCTTGTCATGAGATCTAGTTGGGATGCTAGGAGGAGCCTGGACGGGCTTTGGACAAGCCTGAGTTTGAATAACCACGTAGATCAGCTCTGGAACCTGGGCCTCCTTGAGCCCCAGCCTTCTTACCTAAAACTGCTCCTGGGTAATGGAATTAAAATGACACCCTGTCCTCCCTGCTGCCAGCCCAGCACCTTGGACAGGTCACTTCCCTTCGCTGGTTCCAATTTCCTCCCAGATGGCACGGAGGCCCCTGGCTGGCTGCTTCCTGAGATTCAGATGAGATGAAAGAGGCCAGTTTGCTATGGCAGCAATCAGCAGTGACTGTCGGACACCTCTGGTTGCATGGCGCCCTCGCAGGAGGGGTGACTATCATCGTCCACTGTCGAGAATGAGACAGGAATGCTTGTTTGGACTGTGTCTTCACACCAGGAAGTGTGAGGACTACAGCCTGGAGGCAGGGAGGACCTGCAGGCCCTGGGGGGGGGGTTGGTGGGCTTCGTGGGCTTGGTGGGCTTGATCTTAGAGGCCGAGTCAGATGGCCCTGAAAGCTTACTGAGACCTTCCCTGTGACTCTTGCCAGGTTTGCATCCTTTTGTGCTTTAATCTGGTAATTTTTCTCACCACAGTTTATGAACAATGCTTTCAGGCCAGATAGGCGAGACCGTCCACCTCAGATAATCAGGTTACAGAGGGGAAATGACCTCTGGAATAACTGCCCACAGAGCTGCTGCCTTTTTGAAGACTTGTGTTTGAGTAGAAGCCCCCCACACAGGGCAGCATTCTGAGTGTCTGCAGTCAGGGGTCAGACCAATCATTTTGATGATGAAGCTGATGAAAAGTTCAGCCCTGTGCACTTCCACACTCCTTGCTGCTTTTGTAAGGGGACTGACGGAGCACTGGGAGTCTGGACTGAGGCTGTCATCCTGGAAGGGCCACTTGCCAGCCCGGTTCTATCCTCCCCACCTGCCTCTTGTCCATGAGTCCCAGGTCCCCTACTTGGCAGGAGGAGCTGACAGCTTGAAAACCTGGGGTGAGGGATTGCAGAGTTTTTAAACTCTATGCATACGCATAGTATTTGTGTTGCTGTGATCACGTGTCCCCGGGAGTAGTGGGAACCTGTATCCAGGAGTGGGTGGTTTGCCTTCTCTAATAAAACGTGGGCTTTCCCAGCCCCTAGGAGCTGACCGTTGATGCAGTTGAAGTCTGTGCGAAGGAAACTGGGGCCGCAAACAAGAGATATTTGGGAAGTGCCCTCTTGCTCAGTTTGTGGCATTTATATAAAATGTGTGAGTTTCCAAAATTTAACTGTGGAGTTTCAACTTTAAAAGAATTCTTGCAAATAAGGGTAACGGCTACTTATCAGCCAAACTGCTATCAATTAGTCAGCTATTGTGAATATGTTACTTTTATAGTTGCAAGTAATTTACTATGAATGTGGAAAGTAGGAGGAAGTCCAGGTGGTCTGCGGAGCAGCTCTTTGGGAAAGCACAGAGCCCCAGCGTGCATTGGCTCCCAGCGTCTCCTAAGGCAAGAAAGCAGCTGTTGACGTCCTCAGAACACACAGGTTTTGATGGACTGTAAATCTGTGCCTCGAGCCCTAACAGGGGAGGTCAGGCAGAATCATAACTTCTTAACATAGGACCTCTGCTCCCCACGGTCCCACGAGGCTGCTGAGCTGCCAGATGAGCTCCCTGCACCCACGGTCCTTCCGTGAGGGGGAGATGGCAGTGACCTGGGGGTGTGGGCAACTGCTGAAAAGGCTGCCTGTCCGTCTTGGGACGTGGCCCCCTTAGCCCACTGTGCCTTCTCCAGAGCCTCCCCTGCCTGGGGTTCGGAGGCCATGTGGCACTGAGGCCTCCTTCCCGTCCTCAGCATGCTCCTGAAAAGATCACAAGGTGTGTTACTTACATGTTTCTTTCTTTTCCTTCAGAATATTGACATTACAAACTTCAGCAGCAGCTGGAATGACGGGCTGGCCTTCTGTGCTCTCCTGCATACGTACCTTCCGGCTCACATTCCGTATCAAGAGCTGAACAGCCAAGATAAGGTAGGCTGGCTGTGAAACAGCCCACCCCCTGGCGTCCTTACCACACAAGAGAGGCAGGTCCTTACAGCAGCAGGGCCCCACCATAGTGCTGGCTCACAGCGGCCTCGTCCCAGCTTGGTCTTATTATGGGATTGAGTTATTTGTGCTGAGCCAGCCCAGTCTGCAGTCAGGGGTAGGTCACAGTGTCCTGACCTATCTTGTGTGGGACATTTAGTGGGTTCAGCATTCCCCAGGTTACTACATTCCCAGTGGGACTGGCCAGCCTTCCTGGATGATGACATTTAGGATGGGGGGTTTACCAAGAACTGGCCGCCTAAGGCAGGAGCGGTCTGGGTAGTGCTTCCCACATCAGGCCAGCCTCCTGCCAGCCTGCTGTAGTCCAGTCCAAGTGTCTCACTGAGGGAGCTGCCCGGGGACAGGGTTGGGGACAGGATCGGGGACAGCCCCTGTCCAGATGGGTGCTGGGAGAGGTCCCAGGCCTGAGCCCTTCTGTGGTCTGCTCTTGCCTTCAGATAACACTTGAAGATGCCCCCCCCCTTCCCCTGGGGAGAGAGCTCCCCTGACAGGCGTTTCTGATCAACTTTTGGGGTCTGGGTCCAGGCGGTTCAGGACTAATGTATTGAAAGTCCCCTTTTGCACAGTGAGGAAAGAACGAGTGTGTAGAGACTGCTCCATGGCAGGTCACAGGAGGAGCGGGTAGGTCCTGCAGAGAGGCAGTCTGGGTCGATGGGGGGGGTCCAGGGGCTCCGCTGTAGGGCTGTTCTGGTACCAAATGGAAGTGGCTGTCACCTTGCCTAGCATCATGAGTGGCGAAAGTTGCCTTCTCCTGATCTTGCTCGTCCATTCTGGTCACACAGTTTCTTTTACAGCGAAGGAACTTCACGCTGGCCTTCCAGGCAGCTGAGAGCGTCGGCATCAAATCCACACTGGTGAGTCACTGACAGGGCCCCTCCTTTTTGTTAGGAAGAGTTTCCTTCTCATTAAGGGAGATCCGGGTGGTGTGGGGGCCTGATGATCAGGAGGCTGCTGGGTGGCGAAGGGGGTGCATGCAGGCCCTGGTTAGCCGAGCGAGTGTCCTGTCGATGGGGCACAGGCAGGGCTTACCTCAGTCCTCTGGGTGTTTCGTGCCTCACATGAAGCACCCTGAGATGGGTAGTGTCATCCTGACCACGGCCCCGGCAACTCTGACTTCTTTAGAGTCACCTTTTTTTAGTTGAATCCTGGATTCAGAAGAAAAATGCTAACCAGTTTATAAAAGTCATTGTCAGAGGCACATTCCCACAGGTGTGTCTGCCTTTTGTCAAAGTAGAGGGAGAGGGGAGGTGAGTGGGGCAAGGAAGGAGGCACTAGAGGCCGAGCGGGGGCTCCTGCACTTCATGGGGGCTGTGGCAAACGCTGCTCACAGTGCGAGAAAGGAGTTGTGGAAAGCCTACGTGTTTCAGGGTCGTCAGGCCTCTGCTCAGTAGCTCACAACAGACGTGCTCTTCTGTCAGCTTTCGCCTCATCACGGTGTCCAGATGCAAAGCCAGTCCTTCCACACCCAGTGACACTTACTTTATGTAAACTCGGTACTGCGGTGTCAGCCAGGGACGCGCAGCCCGGGGAGTCCCGCAGAGTGAGAGCTCCACGGGGCCAGGTCACTGAGCCCAGGCACCCCTCACCTGACTTAACAGCTGGGTGGCTTTGAAGAAGTGTTTACATTCGTATTCACCCCATAGGAGTGTTCCCGTAGAGTTCCAGAAGTGTATCTTCTGACTTGATAGAAGAAATAGGCTTGTTTAGGGTGGCCTCTGTTCAGTTGTACAGAGAGAAAGAGAAGTTCCCATTATTGGAATGTTTTCTGGATTCTGGGTATTTTACAACACCTGTAAAGTTCCAACATAAAAAAAGTAGGCCATTTCCCCACCCTACAAAACTTTTAGTCAGGATCGTATATTGAACAAACATGTTTTCTTTTTTCTGTACCAAGTCACCAGTGGGTGGCCTATTCCATCCTGCTGGTTGTGGCCTCACCCGTGGAACCTCTCAGAGCAGTGCCTTGGAGCATGGCTCCCCTGGAAAGTCACAGATGTTCTTCAGCAGCAGTGGTCTCTCTGGGGGGCTTCCCAGTCCCATATCCAAGTCCTGGGTTTCCCACGTTCATTTTCATCAGCTGCATCTCACAGAGGACTGTTACTCTGCAGGATACAATTAGAGAATAGTGTCTTTGATGATTTCAGATGGTTGCCATGGTGAAGGGCATTGGAAAACTGAGTTCTGGGAGCCCTGGGCCCACAGAGACCCTCCTAGGACAGAGACTGGGGTGAGGGAGGCTCTCAGAAGCCAAGAAAAGAGGCAGGCAGGGAACAAGGCTCCAGAGAAAATGACAACCAGCTTGGGAGGGCCGTGGCCAGAGACAGGGGTGCCGTAGGGTGGGGGTCGGGGCAGGGCTTGGGCACAGACAGGCATCTTAGGGACTGTGTGGACACTTAACGGGCACACTTGGTAGCAATGGAGCAAACATCTTGGCCGGGCCTTTGGCGGGTATGATCAGCTTGGTCTGGAGTCGGAGGCCCTGACTGGTGCCAGGGCCTGTGCAGCTGTCAGGGAGCTTGTCAGGGTGGGCCCCGATGTGACCCGGGATTCTAACCTGGTTCTTTCCTTCTCCACCAGGACATTAATGAAATGGTGCGGACCGAGCGGCCTGACTGGCAGAGTGTGATGCTCTATGTGACGGCGATCTACAAGTACTTCGAAACCTGAGCACGCCAGAAGGAGGACTCTTCCCCGTTACCAAGTGACACCAACACCATTAGCTATGCACCCCGTAAAGCTTTCAGCGACTCTCTGGGCTGCCCTGCAGCGTGTGAGCCTTCAGCCAGGGACTCTGAGTCAGGAGAACTCGGGCCTCCATGGCCCATGGCTCACGGCTGGCTCCTCGCACTCAACCCGTCCGGCCACAGGTCGGTGTGGGCCCAGCGCACATCACACATGCTGTTTGCCACCAGGGTCTTTCTCTGAAGGGAATATCGAACTACATTAGTGCTGTGGGGTGGGAAACCCAGCTCACGCATAACTGAACTTGGGGAAGGGGTGAAATTATGTGGGCAGCTCACAGGGAGTTAGTGAAAGCTTTAGCCACAGCTCTTCTCGACTACTCGCCAGCACAGGGTCTGTCACCCGTGAGAACCAGACAGGAAACTCGACGTCTGGCAGAGGCGCCCCACGAGCAGGCTGCGGGCCTGGACGTGGGCTTGCTTTCAAGGGGTGCATCACTACAGCAGTGGGACGGGACTGTCCTGGCCCACATGACCTAGGTGTTTGCAACTTGAGCTAACAGATTGCAACTCGAGTTCCCGGCTGGCAGGTCCGCCGCTGCTGAATGGTTGGTTTTGTGGCCGGGGCCGTCAACAGGAAGCAGCCCCAGGGGACCCCTTGCTGCCGCGCCGCGGACCTGTCCTTCAGCCCGGAAGGGGCTTGGAAACCCAGCTCTGGCTTTAATTTAGGTTTCTGGACAAAAGAATTGGTCAAAAGGAGTTCTAGTTAAAATGTTTTTCTCTTATGAGCAATATTGGGGGGAAATAGCCCCTGTTCTGTTAGTACCAAAGTTAAATCATTTTAGTAAATCTAGAGATAAAACACAAAATCTGGACATTAGCATGTCGTGAAAGCCAGAAATGAAGTCAGAGAGCTGAACAGCTGGAGGGAGCCCAGCAGGGTAATTTAAAGTCACTGCATCACTCAGAACAAACCCTCCTGGGCAAGAATTTAAGGAAGTGCCTTAAGTCTCCTTGCATGGGTACACCGGCCAGAGGGTCTTGGAGGCCGCCACGACCACAGCCACAGCAGGTGGTGTCAGGGCGCAGCCCAGCGATGGAGTTGCTCTCCTGCCACGCCACCCTCCGGGTTCCACATAACGGGCAGCCACAGCAGCACCCCTTCCGTGCGGTGGAACCAAAGCCTTATTACGAGGGATTCTGGGGAGATGACTCTCAGGTTGGGACTCAGCCCTTCTTGGGAACAGGGAGCCCACGTCTCACGTGCGCCTAAAACTGGTTTGAACAGTGTCAAGACTTGTTGCTTCTAGAATACAGCGTGTTTGGCACCGGCAAAGTAGCATGAGGAAGAGCTGCCACCAGCGGAAGCAGGATCGCTGCCCCCACCACAGGATGCAAGGAAGGCTGCCCAGCCAGCACGTGGGCCAGAGGGTTCTGCATTCAAGCATGATGTTCTAGACTAGGAGTTTGACGTGTCTGTAGCCTAGGAAAGAATGTGTTCATTGTGAAATGGGCTGTGTGTGTGTGTGTGTGTGTGTGTGTGTGTGTGGCCTGCTGGCCCATAGCCCCTGGCTGGCTGGTAAGTGCCCATCAGCCCTGCCCAGATGCCTAACCTGGCAGCTCTGGCTGCTGCCCTAACTGGAGGCTTTTTGTGAAATGCCTGTTTTCAGCTAAGGCGGGAGAGGCTCAGTGAGCAGAACCCAGCCCCAGAGCGCACGGGAAAACCCTGGCGGGGACCTGTCCCCATCCTCCCTGACCGGGTTCTGTTCTGGCCTCTCTTGCTCCATTGACAGTTGCCGTGCTATCAGACAAGGGACTGTTAGGTGTTTTTCACACGTCTCCGCTCGGTCTTCCCGAGTCCCACTGTTGCTCTCATTTGCCCTCATGGAAGCCTCCGTTCCTGATTGCACCCAGTGTGTCTGGTCTGTGGCCATGTTTTTGTTTATTTATTATTGTTGGGGGGGGGGTTGCTTTTTTGTCCTATGAAGGAGAAGACTTTCCCGGGTCTGCGGTTCACACATCTGTCCCTTCCTAGCCAAGTGAGCCAGCCCTGGCAGCTCCTCATGGGGGACATGGGGCAGTGCCCACAAGGCTGCCATTGGGGCCAGTGACGGGAGAGGGCGGCCACAGGGAGTTTCTGGACCAGGCCCAACCTGTTCAAGGGGCCCATCTCTGCCTCCCTGATAAGCTGTGCAGGCGAGCCTGGCTAGGCCACCTACATTTGCACGTGGGTCCGCAGGCAAGAAGGTTCTAGAAGCATAATTTCTTTTTCTAATAGGATCCTTTTAACACTATTGGCTTTATGGGATAATTCTAGATGGTCATATATACCTAAAAGTGCTACTGTGAGGTGCTTTTAGTCCAGTGGCACTTAACACGAAGCCTCCAGAAAGTCATTTTGCCTCTTCTCCCTTCAAGCACAAGCTTTACTGCAAAAGGGCCAGTTACATTTCTGTATCTCTGAACCACGGCCTTCTGCTGACTGACAGTACTTTTTAATTTTGTCCTATTAAATATTCTTGAATGTATTAAAATTGCTGAAACACATCAGGCGTGGGCTTTTCTGGCTCGACACGTCCAGCTGCCCCTCTGATATGGTATGAACAGGACCCCGGCCGCCTCTGGGACTGGCTATGGCAGGACAAGGGCACGTGAGCTGCGTGCCCTCTGGCCACCCCTCCCCTGCAGCTCCTGGCCCCGAATGTTGTGGGGGAGGGATCTGGGGGGGGGGGGGGCAGTGCTAGTGTCTGTTAGGTCCCGCCCCGGGCTGCCGCGCAGAGCTCCAGGCCAGATGCCCAGGCCTGAGACCCCAGAAGCGCTGCCCAGGCTCCCCCACGGGAACAGAAGCCCTGGCATTCCCCAGCGGTAGCCCAGACACGTGCTGTTGCGGGGAACGGAGGGGTGGCCACGGTTCCTTGAGGGGTTATTTTGTTTCTAACAGTGCATCATCTTGGAGATCGTTTTCAGAATATATAAAATTATAGAGGAAAAAAAATCGATAATTACACCACTCAGAGCAAGCAAACCGGTCAAGCCTTTATTTCTTGTGCATCTTGTGTGCAATGATTATGAATCCACAGAGCGCAGCCCAAGACAACACGGGGCCTTGTCACATTGCACATTACATGTCACCTGCTGAAGGGCCTGTGGGGCCACCCCTTGCTATCCGCTACGTGACCTAGGGGGCCTTTCCTGGGCCTGACCCCCTTCCCCGAGCTGGCGTCTGTCCAGTAACTCAGCTCACACTGGGGAGCCGGAGTTGAGACTGGCCTGGGAGAGCTGACAATCACGGGCAGCTACCAAGGCCAGGTTTCTGGGGTCACAGCACGGGAAAGTCTGTGCTGGGACTGGGTGTTTCCAGCTTCTCCCCATCCCCGGCTGTGAGGCCTGGGGCACTCGCTCAGACCCAGAGCTACTGCCCTTCGCTGGAGTGTATGGAGGTCGTCCTACGAGCCGCATGTTGGGCTCTGTGCAGGGGGCACCAGCACCGGGCACGGCGGCAGGAGGGGTACCTTCCCCAAACATCCCTCCGGCCTGTCTGTCATGCCAGCTGCCGTCAGAGGGGGTCCTTCCTAGCCCGACTTCCTGGCCTGCTCACAGCCTGGGGCTCACTGGGGCCACCGGGGTCTCTGCTTCCCTAGACATAGCGCTTCCCGTCCCAGGGCAGCACTGGGGGGGGGGGGAGTGGGGGGGGACTCTTCCCACCCTGACTTAGGGAAGGTCCTAGAACCCCTTTTGGGGAGAGTGGATGGCTTTAATGGGTGGAAGCAGGAGAGAAGATCCAGAAAGGATCTCACCCCCCTCCACAGCCTTGCAGGGCTGACGTCTTGGGCCTTAGGTGGCCCTGCCCTAGTGACACAGTGACCACCTCTTCGGCCCTATCCTTGCAGGGCTGCACTTCCCACACTCTTGGCTCGGCCTGAGTTCTGTTTTAGGTTGTCCTTTAAATGGGGGACAAGGCAGGTAGAAGGTAGACCGTGGATTCTAGTCGGGCTGCCCCAGGCTGTTGGGAAGGCAGGAGCCTGAGGGGGGGTGGGTAGTGCAGGACGCAGATGGGGCCTGGAGCGCCCCAGCGAGCTGGGGGGCTGGGAGGCAGGTGGGAGCACTGGGGGAGGGACATCACAGCCTGGAGCCAGACCCGGAGTGAGGAAAGGCCCCGGCGTCCCTGGAGGATACCTTCATTATTGAGTGTGTGCCTCTAGGCTCCTTAGGGGTCACCGTCCTGGGAGGAGGGCTGGGGGAGAGCACAGGACAGGCATGTCACCAGGACCCACTGGGCAGGAAGCAGGTTGCGCCCAGCAGGAGTTGGGATACCGGGGTTCCCCTACCCCCAGGTAGGACCAGCCTGCCACAGACTGGGCCCGTCCCACCTCTGCAATATGACAGGCCCCCAAGATGCCCCTCCTTGGTCCCTGCTACCAGACCTGCTCTTGAAGTGGGGGAGGGAAGCGGCCAGCGGGGCATGGGACAGGGATGCAGGGCGGCTGGTCTGCTGCTGGCAGCTGCTGCCTGCTGGTGCGTGCCCAGGCTCCCGGCTTAGAGCCGTTTGTAGGGTGGTGAGTGACCGACTCTGGCCCAGGGCCAGGCCCCACTTCTGCCTGAACCCCGTTCCCACATCTACCCAGATGTGCCCAGATCAGCTCAGAGGCAGAGCTCCTAGTGGGGCTGCTGGGTGGCCCCCAGAAGCTGGCGTGGGCTGGAGGGTCAGGGTTGCCCTTGGGCTGCTGTGCCTACAAATGGCTCGGGGAGCTTCCTCCACCATGACTCTGGCCTCTTGGGGCCTGCTTTAGTCTCCGTGTAGACTGGAGCCCTGCGAGGTCCCCCACTTCCTCAATCCCAGAGACCCAGGAAGTGTGTGGTTCCCCTCCCATTCAAAGGAGAAGTTGGTGAGTACTTTGGGGTGGCCTCGTTGGTTCACAGGATGCTGGCCCCCTACCCCAGGTGCTTGGTCCTGGGTCTCCCATTGCCTACCCCTCATGTGGCCCAGCTGGCTCCGAGCAAACGGTCAAGGTCCAGAGGCCACCAGGTGCATCCTGGACAGGAACGGAGCCTACGGGGCGTAGGCATGGGGTGGGGGGCGGTCTGAGAGCACAAATCTGGAGCAAGAGAAAGCCCAGCTGCCCCCATGGCCGGGCCTGAGGAGCCTGGGCTTGGACGGAAGTAAGGCCTGGCACCCAGAGCCCTCGAAGCCTGACCCGGGCTGGGCAGGGACACCAAAGCCCAGAGGTAGACAGTGGGGCCCGCCAGGGGCCTCCCCATGCCTGGGGACCAGCAGGCTGTGCCCCGCCCTCGGGGCTCCCTCGGGCCTGCCCAGGGGCCTCCCCTGTGGCCGAGACACCTGAGCTGTTCTCCAGGCTGAGAAGGGCACGACCCCGGAGGGGGTGCAACAAGGCCGACAGGGTGCTGGAGGGGCCCCGGTGTGGGAAGGCCGGGAGATGTGGGTCAACCATGACACGTCTGCGGGGGGGGGGGGGGGGGGGAGCAGGGTTTGTGCCGGGCCCTCCCCCGAGCCGCTTCCTGTCATTGCTGAACCGGACGCTCCTGGGTGTGTGTGCTGTCTAGGCAATGGCTTTACTGGGGACCTGGACAGAGGCACAGGACAGATGACACAAGACCATTGGAGCAGCTCCCTCTGCCTCTGGCTGGGGAAGGGCTGCCACGAGCCAGGGCTGGGGACCTGGTAGCCTGGGACGGTGGGCGGGGCCCCGGGGCCCCCAGGAGTTGGCTCTGGAGTGGAATCACCGCCTGCTCAGCCACCTCTGGCCTGAGGACACATGTAACCCACGCCGAGGAGTTGGGGGCTGGCAAGTGGCCCCCAGGAGCGAACTCAGGGCTCCAGCGCTTTGGCCCTAAGGACCAGCTGGAAAAAGGAACCTTCATTCCCTGGGAGTGGGGCCCGTGTGGTTGCAGACAGGTGCGTGCAGGGCCAGGTCATGTGTGGGGAGGACTGGGTGGGCGGGGAGCCGGGCCCCCGACTGCAAACGGCAGGCGAGAGACTCACAGGGGCCCACGCTGGGGGCTGGAGGGGCAAGCTCAACAACCACCCTCCCCGCCCACTTGCCCCATGAAACCCCACAGTCCCTTCTAGGCCCCCAGTGACTCAAGGCAGCTGTTTGCTTGCATGTTTGATGAGTGAGGACTTGAAGGATTATGGGCCCAACAGATGTGGGCAGGAGGCTTTGGTCTCCACTCCAGGAGTAGCTTATCCCACAAGCTGGTGCAGAAGCAAGGGGGGCAAGCCAAGGGCGCCCCCAGCCGACACCTCACAGTCAGACTCTGGCTCAGGAGGTGGCAGGGCAGAAACGACACAGTTCCGGCTCACTGTGAGGCAATGAGGACCTCAGGGCAGAGGGAAAGCCACAGCACCAGCACGCCCCTGTGGGCAGTCCCAGGGGCAGGGTCCTGCCTTGGGGGCGGGGGGGGGGGGGGGGGGGCTCCTCCCTTTAGTCCCCCATTACCCCTCACAGGAGGGCTACAGAGGCCTAGGCCGGGGCACGAGGGGCCATGGCAGGGGAGGGCCAGGCTGGAAAGGCCTCCGGATTCTTCCCAATTTGAGAAATCTCATCTGCACCTCAGCAACAGCTGGAGCTGTCCTGAGCCCTCCCCCCACCCCCACCCCCCCGTGCCCCGTGGCCTGTCCCAACACTGTGTATTAGGGAGCGTGGGGACCAGGGGGCAGGAGCCCAGGCTCAGGAAAGGGCTGGAGGCTGCTGGCAACGCAGGCCGAACCGGCAAGTGGTGGGTCGCCAGCTCCCGGCTCCGGCTGTGCCTGGGTGGCCGCCCCCCGCCCTGTCCTGCCCGCGGCCTGCACAAGCCCCTCTCCCGGCCGCCCCACGGGGCTCCCACGAGCCCTTGGCCACCGGGGGGCCCTGGCTGGCTGCTTCGCTTCCTCCTGCTGCGCCCGGAGCGGGGGCTACCGGCCTGCGCTGCTGCGAGGCTAGAAGGCGGGTGCCCTTCCATGGCTGGACGGGGGCCACTGGGAGGTTGCTCCCAACGTGGAGTCTCCAAAACGAGGTGCAGGGGGGACGGGAGGTGGATCCCCAGCCAAAGGGTCTGAGACTCCGGGTCAGCGGGTGGCGCAGAAGGCGGCTCCTTTTCACTTTGCTCAGGGAAGCGGTGGGGGCAGGTCCCACCTGGGCTCCAGAGGATTGGAGATCGGGAGCACAGAGCCTGGGCCGGGCAGTCAGAGGGGGTCCCTGGAACTTGGGGTCAGGCCCCTGGAGGCATCCCGGAGCTGGGGTACACCCCACCCCCTGGAGGGGTCCCTCCGGCCGAAAGCCTGGAAGAGCCAGGGAAGGAGGCTGCGCTTGAGTTCAGGACCGGGCCCGGAGACTCGAGGAGCAGCTGGGCCCCGGCACTTGCCAGATGACAGGGGGTCCCGGGGATGACACGCAGGCAGCACCCCAGCTGGGCGGCGGCGGCAGGGGAAGGAGCAGAGCCCCGGGGGCAGCAGGGCGGCAGGCAGCCCCGTCCCCGTCCCCGTCCCCGTCCCCGCAGGAAAGGGAGCGCGGCGGGGGCGGGGGCGGGGGCGGGGGCGGGGCGGCGGGACGAGGCGGCGGCCGTCGGCGCGCGGGGCGGCGCAGCAGGTGGCCACGCCGGGCCGGGCAGGGCTGCCGCGACGTCCCGCCGGCCTCCTCTCCCGCGCGCGCTCGGGCCTCGGTTTCCCCGCTCGGCGGGGCGGGGCGGGGACAGAGGGCCCGGAGGCCGCCTGCAGGGGGCGCCCGTGAACGAGGCGGCCGGAGCCGAGCCCGAGCCGCGGCGGAGACAGCGGGAGCCGGCGCGCGAGCGGCAGGTCAGCCGGGGTCTCGGGGCCGGGATCCCGGGGGTCGGGCGGGCGGCCGGCGCCGTCGGAGGCTGCGGGCCGGGGGGGACGGGAGGCTCGGCCCCCCCGGGCGCCCCCCGCCCCGCCCCTGTCTTCCCGCCACCGGGCCGGGGTCCGAGCTGCACCCCGCGCGGAGACGGCGCGGCGCGCGCAGGGGCGACTCGGGCCGGGCGCCACGTCTTCAGCCGGGCCGGGGTCCGCCCAGCCGGGACCGGAAGGTGCGCGGGGGCGGCGGGAGGGCGGGGGGCGCGAGAGCCCGACGGCCCGGGCGGCGGGACCCGCAGGTGGCGCGGGGGACACCCGTCGGGCCGTCTGGGCGCCCCGGGCCGGCCCCTGGGCGCGGCCAACCTTCCGGACGCGCCCGGCGCGGCGGGTCGGACCCAGGCGAGGGCGGGCTGCGCAGGTGGCGCGGCGGGGCGCGGAGGGGCGCGGAGGGGGCGCGGCGGGGCGCGGAGGGGCGCGGAGGGGGCGCGGGCGGCCTTCCGGGGCAGGGGTGGCGGGGCTCGGCATCCCCGTCCCGAAGCGTGGGGCGCGGCGAGGAGGGGAGTCAGCGGCTGGGCCGAGGCGGGCGCGTCCCGGGACCGTGGTGGCGGGACCCGGACTTGGGGGGGCGGGGGGGTGCCCGCCCCTGGCCCGGGCCGTCTGTCCGCCGGGCCGCCCCGAGCGGAGGTAGGAAAGGCGGGAATGGTGGCGGCCCTCGAGGGACTTGGGCGTCCATCCCGGAGGGTCAGGGAGGCGCCGCGGCCGGCGGAGCCCAGGTCCCTGCCTTCCCGGCACCGCTACGCCGCCTTAGACTTTAATTTTCCGGGCGTTAGAACGGGAGGAAGGGGAGGCGAGGCGGAGGCCGAGGGGAGCGGGGGACGGAGGAGACGCTGCAGAGCCTGGGCCTGGACGTGTGCGCCCCCCCCCCCGCGTCAGGCCGCCCCGTGGGCCGCGCTCCCTCCTTCGCAGGCCCCTTTCCACCCTGAGCTTGCCGCCGCCCGCCGCCCCCCGACTCGGGCTGCCTGCACTGCCAGCCCCTGCACCCTCCAGAACACGCCCCCGCCCCCCCCCCGTGGCTGCCCCGCTTGTCCCCACCGTGGGGTGGGCCGAGGAGGCTGTTGCGGGGTCAGGAGCCCCCTCTTCAGTCCCGCGCTGGCCGCTTCGGAGGCCGTGGCCTGGCTGGGGGGCTCCGCCCTGTGCGCCAGCAGGTCAGCGACCCAGCTCCTTGCCGAGGCTTGTCTGCAGGTAGTGGTGTCAACACCTTCCTGCTCTGTCCTCGCCCTTCAGGGTCTCCCTGCCTCTCCCCAGTTCCGGTGTCCCTGGGGCCGCCGCCCCACCGTCCCCGGCCCCTCAGTGCAGACCAGGCTCCGGGCTAGGCCAGCGTCTCGGTTCATAACCCCAGCGAAGCTGAGGGCAGCCCAGAGACGGGCGGCAGGCGACCGAAGGCTTTGGGCCAGCTCAGCCCTCAGGATGGTCTGCGAGGTGCAGGCCTCCCACACAGTGCTCCTGCCCCCTAGGAGCCCACAGCCCCCGGGGGGCAATGGCTGACCTCAAGGGCAACCCAGTGACAGCAGATTTCGGAGCCCAAACCTGGGTTCTGGTCTTGGGTCCTTGGCGCGCTCGCAGTCTCGTGCAACAAGCATGATGGAGTGGCAGTGCTGGGCTGTGACGCGGAGTCCACGAGAGGTGGGCACAAGACAGGCAGGTCAGAGCAGAGGACAGGTTGGCGTCCGTACTTGAGTGGGGGGGGTGGACCCCAGGGGAGCTGCGGTCCTGGTGGCATGGGGGGACACTGCAGGGGATCCCTGCGGGCAGAGGAGCATGGGGACTGGAGCCTGCTTGGCAGCAAGCGGTTGGCTTCAGGGCAGCACCCCGGGCGACATCTCGCCTGTCTCACTCCTGAGCTCCATCACCCCGTGAGCTGGGACTGCTAGCCTGACCATCTTGTGACCTTTGTCTCGTCTGTCACTGCTCAATCTGAGCACCAAGATGCGCAGAGGGGAGCTAGGGAAGGTGCGCAGAGGGACGGCCACAGCATGAAGTCGTCAGGGGCCGCAGAGGACACCGCTGCAGTCAGGTGCTGAGCCGGCCAAAGGAACGAGTGTCCCCCCCCCCCCCCCGGAAGGGGTCTGTGCCGGGGGAAGCATCACAGCCACAGAAGGGAGGGGTGACTTCGTCTTCCGGGGTATGGATGCAGTAGTTGGGGTGCGGAGCCTGAGGGCAGTACCTGGAGGTCCGCACTGTGCCAGGTGGGGAAGGGAAGTACGGAGCGAGGCTGCGGGGCAGGCGGAGGCCCCCCGGGGCCTGGGGGCTCTAGGTGGTACATTAGTGGCAGAGGTCCCCCACCCCTGCCTGCAGAATCATGAGAAGGGCCCCTGCGGCATGGGGTCCCCCGGACTATGCTGGAGACAGGTAAGTCTGCAGGAGGGGAAGACGGGGCTCCAGCTCTCCGGGGCCCCTCGGCCTTCTCCAACCAGGTCTGAGCCTCACACAGGCTGCAGTGTCTGCCCGGAGTCCCTCCCTGCGTCCTTCTCTCGTCCCTCTCGCTTTCCCTGTCCTCCAAGGCCCGCCCCGAGGGCCCCCCTCTGGGAAACCATCCAGATTGCCTTGCGCCCAGACCCTCTTCTGCAGGACGGCCGGTCTCAGAAGCTGCTGGGCAGGGGCTGGCGTGTCTTTCTGTGGCCCCCGCTTTGCTGCCCCCCCCCAGCTCTGCCCTGGAAGAAGGGCTGCCTTCCTGTGCCAGCCAGGGCGGGCAGCACCAGCCTGGGGCCTCTCCTGCTGTGGGGGCTGGTGGTCTCTGCCTGGCTCCACCTCCCGCCCCTCGCAGCCTTTGCAAACCGTGAACCAGGTACAGGGGGTCGCGGGGTGCAACGGGGAGCAGTGGCAGAGCCGTGTGGCATCTGGTCCGGCCACAGGCCGTGCTGCCCTTGCTAGCGGAGGCTTCGCCCTCTCCCTTCAGCCTCCAGGGCTGCATCATCACGCCTTCACCCCAGGGGCCCCAGGTGTGGGTCAGCCTCTCTCCCATCCTCAGTGGGGCCACCCTCCAAGGAGCTCCTGCCCTCCAACAGGCCAGCGCTCCGCCAGGACCCCACCAGGGCCATCTAGGACCCGTGGCCCAGCCCCCATGTTCCCTTCAGGCATCGTAGTACCTGTCATCCCACCATCAGAGGGCTCTTTTGAGGGAAGCGTGGGTACCAAGCCTGTCCCAGGGTGCCATCTCGCAGGAGCCTCGGTACAAGGGTGAAGACCTGCTCAGGATCTCAGAGAGTATGGGATGGAGCAGGACTGGGAGCCCACCTGAGCTCCTTCTACCACAGATAGGCACCCAGCCCCTGGTGTGTGGGGTGATCTCTAGAAGGGGGGCTGTCAGATGAGGTGGCCGTGAGGGGGTGAATCCTCAGGCTGGGAGGATGCAGACTCTCCCGGTGTCTGGCCTGGATGCATGGTGATGAGAGAGGGACTCCAGCCCCCCACGGGGAAAAAGGAGCTGGGGCAGGCCCTATGGCCCAGGAGCTGATGGGGAGGCTGTGCTAGGGGTCAGATTCAGTTCAGGGAGTAGTAGCTCTCTGCCACTTCCTGCCCACCTCCTGCCCGGGCTGAGAGCAGCAGCCTCCGGAGAGGTGGGGGGGAGGGGACCACTGGGTGCCTGCCTGGCACTTAGGGCCCAGCCTGCCCCAGGTTCCCAAAGTTGTCCTGCAGGGAGAGGAGGGAGGGAAGAGGCACCAGTGCTTTGTGCTTGCTCACCTGCAGGCACCACTGGAAGACGCTTGCCCCACTCCAATTGGTGGCTTTAGAGAGGGGCTTGGTGGGTCCCCAGGCCCTGGGGTTCTGGGAGGCTCATGCCCAGGCCTGGGCTACCCCAAAGAGCAGTCATGGCAGAGCCAGTGGAGGGCTTGTGGTTGAGAGCAGGAGCCCAGCTGCCTGTCCGGCTGTTGCTTCTTTGCTTGTTGCCCTCTCCACGCTGACTGCGCTCCTGGGACACCCGTGTTGGTACTTCGCCATCTACCTTCTCTCAGCTGGATCTCCTCATGGACTTTGTGTCTTTGTGAAGCTGCTGTGCTGATTCCTCAGTGCTGATAATCCCTCAAACGCCCAGTTGTCTCCAATTGTGTGCACGCCTGAAGTGCATCATGTGGATTGTGTTCTCTCAGTCTCTTTATTTTTCATTTTGGGGGTTTTATATTATTTCTTGTTCACATTCACCTGTTCTAGTTTCATTTCTGCCAGTCGAGTGATAAGTTCTCATTCTTGCTTGTGGACATGGTTCCTTTTTTCATCTCTTTAAAGATCCTAAATGTCTTTGAAAAGCATTATTAGATTATTACCTTCCTCTCTTCCGAAATGAACGAATCTCCATATTTTGGGTGCTGTTGCTGATCTTTCTTAGCTTGAGTTTTTCTCCTGTGCTTTGAAATTGTGGTTTGCAGGGTCATCTTAAGTGGGAACTGCGGCCCTGGAGATGGGGAGTGACCGGCACAGCAGGGTAGCAGCTGGCTCTCAGCAGTCTCCTGGGGCAGGTCCTCCTTCAAGGTCCCCTGCTGTAGGCTCAGGACTCTTCTGGGGCCAGGCTCAGCAGCATGTGGCACAGAGTAGGTATTTGTGTAACATCTGCTGTGAGGGAGGAATGGAAGAGGCTCAGGCCAGGATCCTGGAGCCCAGGAATGGGCTGAGTATGGTTATGCCAGGTCCGAGTCCCTACACTGGGCCTGGTATGTTGCCCTGAGCGGCACCCAGGAGCAGAAGTACAGGGTCCTGCCTGGAAGCAAGCAGGCCCCTCCATCCAGCAGGCTCTGGGGGGTACAGCCACCATCTGGGCATGTGTACAGAAAGCCTCTGTAGTGTGACTTACAAGGAGCCACAAGTGGGCCAGAAAATATGTGGGTTTTGATTAAATGGAGTTTCGATTAAGGTGGCCAGGTCGGTGGGGGTGAGGAGGAAGGCCAGAAAGAGCAGCCGTTTTGAATCAACTGCAGGGAATCCTGCAGGGTTGTCCTTTCAAGGCTCATTGAGCACGTTCCCCAGCACGTGTCTCTAGTTTGTATGGGACAGCTTCTGCCCTCTGCCCTGTCCCCAACAAGGGATAATCAGAGGGAAATATTACATTATTAACATTTAATTTCCTTTCCTGGCTAGCAACAGATGACTCAAGAATTAATTAAATAGGGCCAACAGAGAGGGATAGGAAATTGCCAGATCCTGGCTCCGCCCCTGGCCCCCTCCCCTTGGGCCTCCAGACCTTCCTGTCGCTCTAGGAGGCCTCTGAAGGGAGGGAAGCAGAGAGGGGCCAGGAGGCCCCAGGAAATCTTCCTGCTGCTGTGTTTTCCATGGGCATTTCCCTCAGCTCTATTCCACCCTTTCATGCTCTTGGTAAGGCTGGGAGAGGTCAAGGCTGGGAGAGGTCGTTAACCTCTTTAGGACTTAGCTTCCTCATCTGTAAAATGGGGCTCAAGGAGACAACGGGAACACAGATGACCCCACTGTTACCATGGCCTCATATATCGTGAACTCCCAGGCAGGCTGCACAAGATGAGAGGGTCTGGAGTAGAGTCCTGGCATCTAGGGAGAGCACAGGGCCTGGTGGCTCCGCAGTGGCCAGAGCCCAGTGTCAACAAACTCTCTTGAGCTTTGTGTGCTAATTCCCATTTCTTGTTAGTGACACATTAGTAGCTTGAAACTGGCCATACTGGGAGCATTTCTACCATGGAAGTCTGGCAAAGGCCACAAGTTAGGGTGCCCCCACCTCCTGGGTGGATTTGTCCACCTATGGCTGAGAAGCCCCCGACCTTACCATGCAGCAGCTCCAGTAGGAGGCTGTTGAGCCTTCTTCCTGCCCTGTCACCTGGTGCCTTGGGCTGAACTGATGTTCTCTGCTTGGGGCTGGCACTCTGGTTTGACAGATGCCCAGGTTGCCTGTGGGACCAGGCCAGCCTCACCCCAAGATATGCTGGCAGCAGCTGGAAATACCCACACATATGCTGTAGGAAGAGCAGATGGGGAGCCATTGTGCAGATGCAGCCTTTTAGGACCCAGCTGTCAGCAGCATTAGCTCCTTGGGGCAGGAGGGTCTGTGACCAGGAGGATCCACTGTATCCGGGGAGATTGGGAAGGCACCCCAGGCATGGTGTACAGCAAGGTGGCTTTAGTTCAGTCAGGAAGAATGTTGGTACCAGGTGCTGTTCACCATGGGAGCCCATAGCGCCACGGTAGGGCGGCCCGAGGACTAGGGGTACGCAGGCAGGTACCCGGGGCTGCCAGGAGAGCCTTACCAGACAGAGGGCTGGGTGAGGGCCCTTGAAAGCCCTTCCACTCCAGGCTTCCCGGCTCACAGAGTCAGCCTGACCTCATCAGGGCTCTGGGCAGGTAGGGCAGCCTGGCCTTAGCTCCACAGAAATGTGATGTGTATTTGGGTCAAGTGGACCACACTGGTGGTCCCATCTCATCTCTCCCCAGGAAGAGCCCTCTGAATCTGGACAATGGTCTGGGACCAAGTTAGGCTTTTAGCCTCGGCTGATCTGATTGGCAGAGGCTGTGGCGCCTCTCAATGAAGA